AGTAGAAGTAGTAGTAGTAATAGTATTGGTATTGGTATTGGTATTAGCATCACTGTTAGTATTCGTATGAATGTTGGTATTGGTATGAGTATGAGTATGAGAACAAGTATTCGTATTATTGCTATTATTAGTAGTAGTCGCCGTTCCTATTAGCATTAGCACTAGCATTGACATTAGCATTAGCATTAGTTTTCGTAGTGGTATTTGTGTTCGTGTTCGTGCGCATTAGTAATGGCAGTAATATTCGTATTCGCATTAGTATTAGTATCAGTCTTACTTCTGCTATTGCTATTACTAGTACTGCGACGACTACTATGACTACTATTGCAAACTTGCCCGGCAGTCGGTGTCTTTGTTACAAGACCGTCCGAGTCTTGTACTCCTGGTACCCTTCCTGGAGGTCCCCAGACACGAGAAGGACAACAAATACAAAGAACATGGAAGACTAAGGAAGAAAACCTAAGCCACCAAACGTCAGGCTTTTCACACCTTCAGAAGTGCTGCTCCCGTCTACACGCCCCAAACGTCCTGCTCTTACCTTCAGAAGTGCTGCTCCAACGTTTAAACCGTTTAAACGTTTGAACGATTTAAACGCACCAAATGTCTTGCTTCTCATACCTTCAGAAATGCCGTTCCAACGTTTAACCCGTTTAAATGTTTGAACGGTTTAAGCGCCCCAAACGTCCTGTTTCTCATACGTTCAGAAGTGCTGCTCCACCGTTAAACCGTGGAAAAATCCAACGTTTAAGCCGTGGAAAAGAGTAAACCGTCTAACCGTCCCAGACGTCCTGCTTCTCATACCTTCAGAAGTGGTTTAACCGTGGAAAATGCAACGTCTAGGCCCTGGAAAAGAGTAAACCGTCTAGCCGCCCCAGAAGCCCGGCTTCTAGTACCTTCAGAAGTCCTGCTCCAACGTTGACACCGTGGAAAAGTTTAAACCGTCTAATCGCCCTAAACGTCCTGCTTCTCATACCTTCAGAAGTGCTGCTCCAATGTTTAAACCGTGGACAAGTCAAAACCGTCACGTCCTGCTTCTCATACCTTCAGAAGTGCTGCTCCAACGTTTAAACCGTTTAAACTGAATCAGTGCTTCGGGGTCTAGGATTTAGATCCTTCGGAGTTTCAATGTTTCACTCGCCTCAGTTTTATAGGCTTCGGGGTGGCCCTTTGCTTTAGCAAGGTTGAAGGTAAAGTGAGTGTATGGTGCAGTTCATGTTTAAACATGTGTGTGTTCAAGCATGTGTTTGTTTGAACAGTTTGGCGCTCAAACAGCGTCTAAGCATTTTAAACAATTTCATCTGCGCCGTTTGTTGAGACATTCCGGCGTTAAACAGTAAATGTTTAAACAGAACCCGTCGGTCAAAACCTGGGCAACTTCATCAGACGCCAATCATTCCTCCAGTGCAGTCTCTGACGGTTGTGGGGATTCATGGCTGTTTCTGCCGCGACGGCTACCGTTCCTGTCCCTACCGTCGCTAGTGTTGTTTCCGCCAACGTGGAATTCGAAGCAAGGAGAAATTCTGCTAAAAGATGCTGTTGGTATTCTGGTTTCGTATTTCCAGATGCCAAGATGATGGGCTTCACTGGACACCGCAGGTCACCGTGAGTCCCTACATGCGGTCCGTGATGTTGGAGGCCGACTTTGGCTCCATCAGGCTGCAGGACAAACTTTTTGCAGTGCTCTTTGGGTGCAACAAATCCCCGTGACTCCACTTGCATCCCTGCAAAGGACGACACCGGGCGGGACGTTGAGTATACGGCACACCAGGCCAGTTAGTGAACCCGCAAGAGCCGAAATTGAACCTGCGAACACACAGTGTGCCTGCCGTTGCCGTGCTGGTCATGACGTGCCATGAGCCTTCACCACACGGTGTGTATTTTGTCAGCGGAGCGGCTGCTGTTGCTGCTTTTATTTGTTGCTGTGGCTTTGCTGTCGTCGTCGTTGCTGCTGTTGTCGTTGCTGTCGATGTGGCCGTTGTTGTAGTTGCTGCTTTCATTTTTGGTTCTATCCTTGCCAAGTACTCTTGTAAGAGGACACCGGCAGTGCTACCAGTGGTAGCAATAGAAGTAGAGTAGCAGAAGCACTAGCGGTAGCAGCAGGAAAAAGTGGCAGTAGGAGTAGCAGACCAGATACCATCCCGACTGCATCCTGCTGCTGTTGATAAGGTCGGCAATGCTCATTGTCATAAGCAGGACCCTAATTCAGAAAGTTTGGTTAGGTAGCCTGACTTGAGTTGTAGCTATATGCAGCCATGATGCATGTTGCAATCTTGCCCTTTCTTGTTGTATCGCTTTGAGTGTTGTTCCAGGCTTGTACGGTTTCTACCCAGCTCGCAGATAGCGATGCTTGTACTTGCGGTCAGCTGACAGATCCACCTCTCCGCGGACAGCTGGCATACATTGAATGGTGCGCCGGCAGCGGTGGCAGTCTCAGAACCAAGAGCCTTGCGCACAGTAGCAACGAAAGCCACAGCTCCAAAGTTGCTGTCTAAGCAGTCTGGTGTGTAAGCCCTGTCGAAACTGCATACATATATGTCTATATATATATGTATAGTCATACACATACTTATATATACATACATACACTGAAATGAAGTCATCGCCCCCCGACGGGTGCCCGACGGATCCCCGACTCGGACGGGTTCCGAGAATGGTCGTGCCGTAAGTGTACATATGTACACCACATAAGATCATATATGTACATAAGTAAAACATAAATTTTTATAATATATATAATAAGACAACATAACATAATATAACCTGGTACATTATCTGTCTGTCTGTCTATCTATCTATCTATCTATCTATCTATCTATCTATCCATCTCTCTATCTATCTCTCTATCTATCCATCTCTCTATCTTTCTATCCATCTATCTACCTATCTATCCACTTGTCTAGCTGTCCATCTGTTTATCTATGTAGCTATCTATCTATCTGTCTGTCTGTCTGTCTGTCTGTCTGTCTGTCTATCTATATAATTTATGTTGCTACTGTATGTTTAACAGTTCCAAGGTTTCATAGCTTGTGCAATGCAGACACAGCTTTTGCAATGTCGGGCCCGATGTCACGAAAGTGAAACTGGCTGCCAAGTCTGCTCCCCTGCCAGCTTGGACAGTGCCTGCATGATTGTTGCCAGTCCTGCTTCTTTGCCTGGTCCTTTGTGTTCAATGTCCGAACCGAATTCCATTTAGAACGATGCCACTCCTTGTATCGTGCCACCTCAGACTCGGCATCATTGCTTTTCACACCAGTTTTCGGATTCCGGTAGTTAGTACCGTGGCCACAAGTGCCTAACATCTTCAAGCCACCTTCCTTGGCCGCCTTTGTTGTGGAAGTCCAGCCGTCCGATGCTATCTTTCTTGCACAGACATGCATGGGGCCACCTGCGCAATTGATCTTCTCTTCATCCCCGTACTTCTTGATGGCGGCATGGTACTGCTGCTGCCATCTGTAGAGGCAATAATAGCCATCTTGTCTTGTTGTTGTATACACAAGGAAGTGTATGAATGGAATCTAGCTCTTGGGGCGAAGGAAAGAAAGCACAGGGGATAGTGACCACCTGTTGAAGTGTGTTTGGCTCCAGTTGTTTTTCGCAAATCCTCTTGAGCTCGTCACCAGACCCGCTTTGAATCAAGAGGCACCTGCTCTTGCATGTGGAACATCGGTGTGTCCGAACAAGCTTGTAGTGCATACACACACACACACACACACACACAACGCCCCGCAAAGATGGCGAATCCGCCAAAGTTCCTGTGTCCAATGCCTTGTGCTGAATATGGGCTTGAAAAGCTGAGCTAGACTCGAAGAACTCTTCCTTGATACCTTTCCTAAAGCTATCCAGGTCCATGGGGTGAAACCTGCCAACAAGGGGCGGAGAACACGGGGTCTCCAGCCAGCGGCTGCACGCCACATACAGACATACAACATACAGACATACATACAGACATACATACATACAGACATACATACAGACATACATGCATCACTTGATTTTGGTACGTTCGTAAGAAACCGTCTCGAAGTTGCAGTCCTGCAGGGCTCAAATGAACCCCGCTGTGAATGGTGTTGTCTCCTGGGATCCTCGCCTGACCTCGTTGAGAGCGAGTGCCAAAACTACATACATACATACCTACATACATACTTGTATATGTATCTATATGTCTATGTACATACATATGGCCGCCAAGGAACTCTTAAAGATACTATACCCATTATTATGCATATACGAAGAGTCTTATCCACCGTTGGAGTCTTGTAGTAGAAATCCTTGTAGTATGGAAAAAAGGGCGTGCTGGTTTTGTTGAGTCGAATCAAAGCAAAGCCTCAGTATTTCCGTGGTGGGATTGCAGTCGTTTTGTTGTCCCTGGGAAATCTAGGTAGCCTGAGTACAACCCGAGCCGCGACAGCGATTCGAGATAAAACATCCGGTGTTCAGGGTACAGGCATGCGGTTTTCATCCGAACTAAGCTGGCTTTGGCTGCAGTGGAACCCCTTCGCTGAGCAGATTTGGTTTCACAGCCAAGTGGGCCGATGAGTTCTTCAGTCTCGGGTTCCAGCCTCCTGGCAGGGAGGTATCGTGAGCGGTTCCATTGGGTGTCGACATCCACACACACACACACATATATATATATATATGTGTGTGTGTGTATACATACATACATACATACATACATACATACATACATACACAGGCAGGCAGGCAGACAGACATACAGAGAGAGCCATCTTAGGCCCTCACCGGCCCTCAGAGCTCTTTGCCGCTGAGCTTCAGGCGGAGCTCATGATCCTGCACAAGCCCAAGGAGGCCAGCGACATGATCAAGGGCGGTGTGGCCAGGAGCTGAGAGTTCCAGCTTGCAATAAGAGCCGGAAGGAGTCGGAGACGTCGGCCTTGAGGTAGGAGTTTGCGGAATTTGTTCAGATTCTGGCTCGAGGGGGAGAGAAGGAAACGTGCTCTGGCTGAGATCGTGAGCGTGATGTTTGAGCATGACGACGCCGCGGACAGCCCGCTCTTCGAGCACCTGGGTATGCCCAAGGACTGGCCAGATGTACAAAAGCCCAAAGCCGCTGCTCATCGTTCTGGGGGTTTCCGAAAATAAGGGACCCTAACATAGTACCCTAAATAGTAGGATCCTTATCATATGGACCCCTTGACAGGAGGGCCCGGAAATGGAAGCGCTGGGCTCATGGCAGCTGCCTCACTACGTGAACCTCTTGGACAACCTCCAGGAGCCCCTGGTGTGTGTATATATATATATATAATTATTTATATATATATATATATAACTTAGTAGAATAGTCTAGAATATGCTTCAACCTACTCTAGTATAGACTATCATAGACCAATAAGATACAGAAAAAACATGAGGGCTAGTTTGTTGTTGCAGAGCGCTCTGGTCTCAGGCTTATCGGATCGCCATGGACCTGTGCCCTCAGCCCTTTAGGAAGTCACAGGGTGAGGCAGAGTCTGGGGGACGTGAGGCCTCAGAAGTTCAGCAGTCTAGGGTTTAGGGCTTAGGGGCTTAGGGGCTTAGGGTTTAGGGTGTAGGGTTTAGGGTCTGAGGCTTAAAGGAAAAGGATCTTTAGGACAAGCACCAGGAATGAAGACGACTTTCACCACTGCGTTTGTTGGACGAAAGCCCGCTTTATGCCACATTCTAGCCAGCTTCGAAGCCCTCAGCTGTGTGATCTCAACTGCCCTCTGCCTGTGACTGCCTGGAGGACGTACTGAAAGGTGCAACCTACCAGTACGAAGGTTCTGTGCCTGCTCCGGCCTTGGTGATGGCGTACTTAAAGGATCATGGGACTTAGTAAGTAGGGTTATAATTAGGGTAACTATACTTATAACCCCAATTAAGGGACTTATAACCTTACTTACTAAGTCCCATGATCCTCCAAGTACGGTGCAGAATCGTTAAACCTTATCCCGACACTCCGACTCTTCAGAGGTTAGGATTTATCAGGCTTAGCTTTACTGCTGTTCGACGTAATGTAAGGCTGAAGCAAACATGTGCCTTCTGGGTCTGTCAAAGTTGCTTATAGCGTAGTAGCATATGAGATGCAGTGACCAGTTTAGGCCATGGTTCTTGGGATCCCTGGGCAGCAATTCAGGAGAAGTCCATGCTTCATCAGGGCAGCGTTCCTGCGATCCTGGGATCCCGTCCCAGCTTAAGCAAACTTCGAAACACATAGCACGTGACTCGAAGATTGCAAGCCCGCAACTTCATCGAGGCTTGTCTGCGGCACGCTTCCAGCCCTCGACCCCAAACCCTTGTGTTTCGACTGACAGTATTGCTGCTTACCTTGCCAGGCTTTGTCCTTTTGTGAGTGTCAACAAAAGCCCTAAAACCTCGCCTGGTCCAAGATGCGAGAGTCACCCTGCATCGCCGGTTCGTCCCAGAAAACCCAAAACCCAAAACCCAAAACCCAAAACCCTAAACCCTAAACCCTAAACCCTAAACCCTAAACCCTAGACCCTAAACCCTAAACCCTAAACCCTAACCTGAAGCTGGAGCTGGCTCCGGCCTCCGCGATTCCACGACTTCTGGGCTGACTTTTTGGGTTCATTTGGGGGGGACCCTTTCGGAAGACTCCCAGGTGCCGCCCTGCACCGAGAACATCAAGTACCTAGTCATGGGCCAGGCGCGGAGATGCAAAGAGTGGTCCGGGGAGTGTTCGAAGGGGCTCTCTGCCAGGGGCTCTATAGGGTTTCTGCGCGGGCTTTATCGTGACGTGGGGGCTAGCTCATTCCAGCTCTGCTGCCCAATAGGCACCATGACGAAAGCTGCATGTTCTAGTGGTAAGACGGCATAATCTTAGCGGAAGTGGAAGCAGTCAAGAAATTGTCGAGGTCAAGAATCGTGGATGCAGGAAGCATCGCACAGACGTGTTCATTCACCGTCATGTTTATAGTGTGCTGTCGCTAGTTTTATGTTTCTTATGCCCATGGACACACACTCAGCTTTTAAGAATCTGTTATGACTGTTGCAAGATTGGGGCAGCGGCAGATCTTTGACTACTTATTGGGTTCAGGGCACCCGAATTGAGTGACGAACGAAAATGCTGCAATCTTCCAGCTCATCAAGTTTCTAGCTGCGCTCGTCGTGGGAGTTTTGTCCGACACCATGGCCGGCAGCATCGGCGAGCTCGTGATCGTGGCTCACAA